CTTCAGATATAAAGATTCAATTTTTATGTCTACTAGTTTGTATTACTATTGTCTTTAATTTTTTTAATGATATTAAGTAGAATAAACTTGTCTTGTATTTTTTTTGGTAATTTCCAGAAATGTTTAATTTAGCTTTGTTGCAGTTATGGGATATTGTGCTGTTAAAATGTTGAAGAATTAGTACTCCAGGAATTATTTCGCTCATCGCTTGTGTATTTAATGTTTGCATTTTGCAATTAGCTTCTTCAAAGCTTAGTATTTTGTTTAAACAATCATCGTTAATTTTTATAAGATTTCTTTTTAAATTATCTTTAATATATGTAAATATTGCTTTCTAAATCTATGAGAACATCAGAGTGGTTAACCTTTAAGGAGTTATTATTTTTGTCAGGAATAAGTACGAAGTCACCATGGATAGTGAATATTGCGAATATTGTGGTATAGAGAGATTTATTATAATGTACCTTCGTTAAGTGCTATGGCTACTTTAATATTAGTATAACTGTCGAAGTCTGTGATTAATTCAAGTTCGGTTTGGCTGAGAATATCTGTGGGGATGACTCCCAGTTTACCGGAGAAAATAATCTGTCCTATGTCATCTACGTGATGCCGTAGGAGTGAGATGTCGTTGTTAATCTGGTATAAGTGCTCTATGGATAAATGTTATCCATAGAGCACTATGGTTGAAATTTTATTCCCTATAATATTCTTGACTTTGATTAAGTAGTCCCCGATAATGTTTTGCGGATAGTTTATGTGGTTAGTTATATTACCTGCAATAATATTTAGACCTTTCCTATAATGTTTAAGAGAGCCCGTTTCCTTCGGAAATGTGGGTTAAGGTTTSTATTTTTGCTCTTAATAGCATAAATTTCTTATTTATTGTATTTATTAATTTTTTTGATTCGCTGCTGGATATCTTTAGGATGTCAATGTTGGTTTTGATTATTTCCATAGTTCGTTCGTATTCTGTGTGTTTATTATGTGTAGTACTTTTATGTAATGTTCTACAGTTTTAGTCTCTCCATTTTTTATCGGTATGTATCCATTATTGTTCGATACGTCCTGTAAGTCGATAGTTTGAGTCTTGAATGTTGGGGTAATTGTTGCCATCATTATGATCCATTTAATCATCTAAAAAAAATTACATTTATTTAATTGTAGCTTTGATTTTGGGGTTGCTCTTATCTTGGTATTTCTTCTTAGGTATAACGTGAGCTTTA